ATGAATACCCCCGCATACCACTTTGTCAGAATCAACAGTGGCCATTTAGAGCTCAAGGACAACCTCCCTGCCAAATCTGAGGTTACTAAGCCAGTGCATTGCTAAGTTATGTATTCTACATGCTTCAAATGTGAAAATGTCAAAATAAATACATTGCGGACAGGAACATTCTTTAGCAATTGAGAAGAAAAAGCTTTTTTTTGTCAAGGTCCCTGTGACCTTGACCTTTGACCCAGTGACCTTCAAAATCAATAGGGGTCACCTTATAGTCATGATCAACATCCATACCAAATATGAAGACTGTGGGTCAAAGGAATCTTAAGTTAATGGGTGGACAAACTTTTTGAAGTCAAAGTCCCCTATGACCTTGACCTTTGATCCAGTGACCTCAAAATCAAAAGGGGTCATCTACTAATCATGATCAACATCCATGTCAAATATGAAGACTGTGGGTCAAAGGAATCTAAAAGTTATTGGGCAGACAAAGCTTTTTGAAGTCAAAGTCCCTGTGACCTTGACCTTTGACCTGGTGACCTCAAAATCATAGGGGTCATCTACTAATCATGACTAACCTCCATGCCAAATATGAAGACTGTAGGTCAAAGGAATCTTAAGTTATTGGGCGGACAAGCTTTTTGAAGTCAAGGCCCCTGTGACCTTGACCTTTGACCTGGTGACCTCAAAATCAATAGGGGTCATCTACTAATCATGACTAACCTCCATGCCAAATATGAAGACTAAGGGTCAAAGGAATCTTAAGTTATTGGGCGGACAAGCTTTTTGAAGTCAAAGGCCCCTGTGACCTTGACCTTTGACCTAGTGACCTCAAAATCAATAGGGGTCATCTACTAATCATGACTAAACCTCCATGCCAAATATGAAGACTAAGGGTCAAAGGAATCTTAAGTTATTGGGCGGACAAGCTTTTTGAAGTCAAGGCCCCTGTGACCTTGACCTTTGACCTAGTGACCTCAAAATCAATAGGGGTCATCTACTAATCATGACTAACCTCCATGCCAAATATGAAGACTAAGGGTCAAAGGAATCTTAAGTTATTGGGCGGACAAGCTTTTTGAAGTCAAGGGCCCCTGTGACCTTGACCTTTGACCTAGTGACCTCAAAATCAATAGGGGTCATCTACTAATCATGACTAACCTCCATGCCAAATATGAAGACTAAGGGTCAAAGGAATCTTAAGTTATTGGGCGGACAAGCTTTTTGAAGTCAAGGCCCCTGTGACCTTGACCTTTGACCTAGTGACCTCAAAATCAATAGGGGTCATCTACTAATCATGACTAACCTCCATGCCAAATATGAAGACTAAGGGTCAAAGGAATCTTAAGTTATTGGGCGGACAAGCTTTTTGAAGTCAAGGCCCCTGTGACCTTGACCTTTGACCTAGTGACCTCAAAATCAATAGGGGTCATCTACTAATCATGACTAACCTCCATGCCAAATATGAAGACTAAGGGTCAAAGGAATCTTAAGTTATTGGGCGGACAAGCTTTTTGAAGTCAAGGCCCCTGTGACCTTGACCTTTGACCTAGTGACCTCAAAATCAATAGGGGTCATCTACTAATCATGACTAACCTCCATGCCAAATATGAAGACTAAGGGTCAAAGGAATCTTAAGTTATTGGGCGGACAAGCTTTTTGAAGTCAAGGCCCCTGTGACCTTGACCTTTGACCTAGTGACCTCAAAATCAATAGGGGTCATCTACTAATCATGACTAACCTCCATGCCAAATATGAAGACTAAGGGTCAAAGGAATCTTAAGTTATTGGGCGGACAAGAAAAAACCGACGGCCGGACGGACGGACGGCCGGACGGACGGACAGCCGGACGGACGGACAAGCTGATTCCAGTATACCCCCCTTACAACTTTGTTGTGCGGGGGTATAATAATATATTGATCAAAACCATAACTGCTAGTATGTTACATCTGATGTGGTGCATCTATATCTCCCATACATTTATACATATAGAAAGGGGCATATCAAAAAATAAGATATATAATAACAGAAAATCACATTTTTCAACAACTGTACAAATAACACATAGGTTCAAACACATTATGTCACAGAAATTACCATGATACCTACAGAATCAAATCTATGCAACCATGATAGTGATATGGTGTATAAGGTTTAAAGTTTGGTGGCAGGAAATAAGACAAATTGAATTCTATATATCAACATTTTGTAAAGGAGAAGCAATAAAAACCAAATTATATATGAATTAAAGACTCGGTTTTATTGAGTCTGTTCATGAGAGATAATATAAAAGTGCAACATTTGACCCTAACTGTCTCATCAGAATAAAGTTCCAAGTAGAAAGGCTTGTAAGATTCTCAACATGATTCCAATGAAGTCATGTTAAGGATCTCACTGGGTTATGTTGGAGAAGAAAAGTTTAGTATTCTTAGCAGGTTCATCCAAATTCCTACATCCAACAAAAATGTTCAGCTACATCCAACAAAAAAGTTCAGAAAAGTTCAGGATTCCTAATGGTTTTATCCAAAATATCAAAGTCTACATCCCTGTGATGGTTTGCTATTATTGAGACAAAGAGGTTATTATGGATCTCCGAATACCCCTTTTAATACCTAATACATAAATAAACTGTACCATTAGAAAATGACAACAGTCAAAAACATGGTTTAATAAGTTGTCCCGTACTTCAGTATTGATATGTTGTTTCTGGTCCTTTGAAATCATTGGTTCCAGCACTTAATGTGTGGAAAATTGAGTACAGCTCATGTCAGTGCTAGGGGGCTTGAGGGATGTTGCACTTTTTCATTATCGCTCAAGTACAGACTAAATCAAGCCCTGTCTACAGTTTTCATGTAATTTTGTTGTGATTAATGCTTACATTTACTTTGAAAGTAAAAAAATTAACACTGCCTTGGACTTATTGTTTAAAATTAATTTCAAAATGTTCAGTTTTAAACTTCCAGTCATATGTTTAATGTATTTAGTGTGGTTCATAATCAACAATGACACACTTTAAACCAAAGTTACAGTTAAATTATTTATGATAAACATCATTAAATTTCAATGCAATGCAGTAACTTCAATGCTCAAAATTAAAAAGTAAGTGCAAAAACTATGGTAAGTGCACTTGCATCACTTTTTGCGTTTAAAAACACAGTGCAAAAAGTCTTGTAAGTGAAGAAGAATATCTAAGTACTTTTTATACATAAATGAATAATTGTCATCTTTAAAACCAATTTTATAATACTAATTAATGATATTTTCACATCAATGTCTGGTATTAAAAGGGTTTTCTCAAAATGAACAAATCATTTTTTGTTTTTCCTGTAAAATTTTAAAAATGTCAGTTACAGTACTTTTTGCGCCATGGTGACGCTATGTAAAGTAATTATGAATAAAAATACATTTATGTGGTTATCAATATTTCAAATTTTATGCCTTGACCTTAGTGCTAAGGCAACTGGTTATTGCACATGACACAACGTCTCAATATTGTGAACATTTGTGCCAAATATTTACAAAATCCCTTGATCTATGAAGAAGTTATAGACTGGACACAAAATATACCCTATAACAAGCTATGTTAATCTTTGACCTCTAGGTGTGACCTTGACCTTGGAGGTAGGGGTGCAGGTGTTGCACATGACACATCATCATCTTATTATTGTGAACATTTGTGCCAAGTACTTTCAAAATCCATTGATCTATGAAGAAGTTATAGAACGGACACAAAATATAGCCTATAAAAGGCTATGTTAATCTTTGATCTCTAAGTGTGACCTTGAACTTGGACGTAGGGATGTAGGTGTTACGCATGACTCATTGTCTTATTAATGTGACTATTTATGACTATTTGTGCTAAGTATTTTCAAAATCCTTTTATCTATGAAAAAGTTATGCACCGGACACAAATATACCTTGACCTTGGAGGTAGGTGACCAGTTGTAGCGCATGACACATCGTCTCATTATTAACAAAAATTGTAGAAAGTATTTACAAAATCCCTTCAAAGATAAGAAAGTTATGGACCGGACACGACATATACCCTCAAATAGACAAGGTTGACCTTGAATGAGCAAGTGCAACCTTGTCCCTGGAGGTAGGGATCTGGTTGTTGCGCATGACACATCATCTTATTATAACAAACATTTGTGCCAAGTTATTTCAAATTCCTTTGATAAATGACAAAGTTATGGACCGGACACGAAAGTGTGACGGACAGATGGACTGATGTTCCAACAATTTGGATTTAGGGGCTATTTTCTTTGTATTTTTCTATTGTCTGCTTAAGGGCAACAAGCCCATAAACCCTTTGGTCATGGAATGAACCTATTGTTCTCTTTTTTTCTCTTTACCGTTACATAGCCCCTAAACCTAAAATGTTTGCTCGGACAGAGGGAAGGAATGACGGACAGACGAACAGAAGGTAAACCTAAAGTCTCCTCCGGTAAACCGGTAGAGGACTAATGAGGTGTTACAATCTGTATGTGTCTTAATGTGTTGCGGTCTGTAAATAAAGCTATTATCATTAATATTGTTTGAATTATTATAGATGTTCAATGGAGCAGAACCATTTGAACAATTTAAGTTTGATTCGGTTTTACGTCACACCCACACAGTTTAGGTCATATGGCGATGTTCCAGCTTTACTGGTGGAGGAAGACCACAAAGGGGCACCTGAGTAGAGCCACCGATGTTCCGTATGCTTGCTGCATAGCTTCCTCACATGAAAAAATCCAAAGTCCCTGTCAGGATTCGAACCCACAGCGGTGAGGGGCAAATGGTTTGAAGTCAAGGACTTTAACCACTTGGCCATGGACACCCCCGAACAATTCAAGTAAAGCTTCATGCTAGAAACATCCCAGAAAAATTTCATCAAATTTGAACAAGTGATTTCAGAGGAGACACACTGATGCACTGCCAGACAAATTGTGATCACATAAGCTAATCATGATCACTTTGTGCTCAGGTGAGCTATAAAAACAAAGGGTAAAACAAGTAAGTACCTGTAGATTTTGAAGGTGGACCCCAAGTTACCACATACACTGTTCTTCTATGGTAAGTTGTGGATATCAAAGGTGCCCTAAAATATAGCATGCAAATCTACATAAAAAGCTTCTACTACTTCTATATTTGAAACATTTACCTGTTTGAAGTGACTACTTTTTCCAAAAAAATGTTAAACAAGGGGGCCATTGGTACCAAAACACTCACCAGAGGACAGAATTACCATTGACCTACTGACCTCAAAATCGATAGGTGTAATCTGCTGTTATGACTATCCTCAACACCAAATCTTAGGACTCTTCAGTCCCATGATGTTTAATAGACCTGATTGTATACTAGGGACATAAGTGTAAACCCGTGACCCTGGAAACAGCCCATTTTTGACATGAGAAAAATAGTTTTAACAAAGTTCTTCCCAAATATCTAAGCTCTTAAACACTAGGGCTTTTAGAGAAGATTCTTAAATTTTCTTCTTCCAAGCAGGGCCATTTTTTTTTACATTAAGGTCAAAAGCTGAACAAAAAAGGTAGAGATCTGTTAGATGATGTTTCATGCTAAATATCTATGCTCTAGTACTTTAGGTTTCAGAAAAGACGATATTTTATGTGTACATTAATTAATAAAAGAGCCAATGCCTGGCGGAAGCCAATGCTCTTGACTTCTTTACTTTTTCAAACAGCAAACAAATAAACAGTTGACACAAATCGTTAAAAAAAAACAAAAACAAAAAAACTTTAAAAGGTTTGTATAAATTTTCATAAATAAATGACAATGTCATTTATGGATGAAGGTCAAGGTTAGTGCAGTCTATCCAAGGGTTGTTGGGGCCAAGTATGAAAACAATATACAAAGAACTTAAAAAGTGAAGATCAACATACAAGTTTGTGGATGGCAACGCCAACTTGACTATAACAATACCTCTACTTTTTCTTTTCTCAAAAAAAGTCGAGCTAATAAGGAGAAAACAAGATTGCACTTTTGACAAGAGGGCCTAGGGGTTTAATTTGAACAAACTTAGTAGATATCCACTAGAAGATGTTTCATGCCAAATATCTAAGCACTAGCTCTTTTGAATTGTCACAAGAAGATTTTGTTTAGTTTTTACTATATAAATATTGGGAAAATCAATGACCCCTGGCACCAGGACAATTTTGATCCTAGGGTATTTATTTGAACAAACTTGGTAGACATCCACTAGTAGATGTTTCATGCCAAATATCTAATCTATAGCAGTTTTGGACTGTCACAAGAAGAATTTATAAGTTTTCACTATATACATATGAGGAAAATCAATGACACCCTGGGGCGGGGTCAATTTTGACCCTAGCAGTTTCATTTGAACAAACTTGCAAGACATCCACTAGAAGATGTTTCATGCCAAATATCTGAGCTCTACCTTTTTTTGAAATTTTCACAAGAAGGTTTTTTTAAGTTATTACTATATACATATTAGGAAAATCAATAATCCCTGGGAAAGGGCCAATTTTCACCCTAAAGATTTTAAAAAGAACAGATATGGTAGACATCCACTAGAAGATTTTTTATGCCAAATATCTAAGCTCTAACTCTTTTGGATTGTCACAAGCAGATTTTTTTTAATTTTTACTATAAACAAAGAAGGAATTTCAATGACCCCTGGGGCCAGACCAATTTTGATCCTAGGGCATTTATTTGAACAAACTTGGTAGACATCCACTAGAAGATGTTTCATGCTAAATATCTTAAGTGCTTTTGGATTTTCATCAGATGATTTTTTAGGTTTTTATTATATACAAATAAGGTAAATCAATGACCCCCTTGGGCGGGGTCAATTTTGACCAAACTTGGTAGACATCTATTAGAAGATGTTTCATGCTTAATATCTAAGCTCTACCTCTTTTAGATTTTCAAAAGAAGATTTTTTAAGTTTTTACTATATACATATAAGGAAAATCAATGACCTCTAGTACGCGCCAATTTTGACCCTAGGGCTTTTATTTGAACAAACTTGGTAGACACTCACTAGAAGATGTTTCATGCTTAATATCTAAGCTCTAGCAATTCGAGATTTTTAAAAGAAGATTTTTTAAGTTTTTACTATATACAAATAAAGACAAGAGGGCCAATTGAACTTGTCCAAGCAAATACCTTGACAAGCATCCTGACCAAGTTTCATGACAGGTGAGTCAAAAATGTGACCACTAGAGTGTTAACAAGAATTTTCCATATTTGAGCAGTGTGACCTAGTTTTTGACCCCAGGGGACCCATATTCAAAGTTCACCTAGAAATCATCAAAACAAACTTTCAGACCGATTTCCAGGATACTTGGATCAAAACAGTAGCCACTAGAGTGTTAACAAGATTTTTCTATTTTTAGTTCCTTATGAGCAATGTGACCTAGTTTTTGACCCCAGGTGACCCATACTTAAACTTTACCTAGAAATCATCATAACAAATATTCAGACCAATTTCCAGGATACTTGGATCAAAACAGTAGCCGCTAGAATATTAACAAGATTTTTCTAATTTTAGCTCCTGTGACCTAGTTTTTCATCTGAGATGACCCATCCGAGCAATTATCTAGACAAGCACCCTGACCAAGTTTGATGATGATTAAGTCAAAAATGTGACCACTAGAGTGTTAACAAGTTTTTTCCATATTTTTAATTCCGATGAAGTTTACAAACTTTTTATTTTGGATAAATTTGGCTAAGGGGTTTTATAAGGAGAATTTAAAGAAAAAGTTGCTTTGGAGGAGGACATTTACAAATGGTATTTATTGTTTTTCCTTTGATTTTTTAAGTTTTTTTAAGTCAACAAGGTTAAACAAAGCACCGTTTGGGCGGACTTTAAAATTGCTCGTAATTTTTTTTATAAGGTAAGCTTTTGTAAAAATGGGAAGAAAAAATCAATGGGTCTTCTCCCCAAGCTATCAAATTTTTGAGGGCATCCCATCGTATCACCCCAAAAAATTACTTTCTTATTTTTAGAGGGACATAATCCAACACCCCTTTTCTTGCCCCATAAACAAGCAACCTTTTTTTTGGGGGTGCAACAAATGAAAACAGCAAGTTGCATTTCATAATTTCATCTAATAAAGTCACAAGAACGTGTTTGTTAAACACAAATGCCCCGGTTCAGATTCTTGTCAGTTACAATATTTAAAACAAGAAACATGGCAATGCCACGAAACCAGGTTTTCAGTTATCACCATTGTAGATAAATATGTTGTAGTTGAAATACAAGTACAAGCAACAAACAATGTAACTATGTGCAATGTAAAATCATGATTAATGAATTTTCTATTTTTAGTAACTGTAACCTTGACCCTAGGAGGCCAAAAAGCCATCCCAAGTGAGGTCTTCATAAAAACTTGCTTTACTACAAATTTCATAAAAATATCTTATTCCAAACTAGTTATTGACCGAAAACCTATTTTCTATTTTTAGTAACAGTGACCTGACTGGAAGCAGATTTTCTATTTTTAGCAACAATGACCTTGAATCGACTCTACAGGACCCAAAAGCAGGCAGATGAGCTGGTAGGCATGCAACAACCTAGATAGTTTCTGTTTTATAACTAAATAAAGTTTGTTGTGATTAATAGGATATATTACACTAATAATTAAATTTTATGGAAAAACAAAGGGCCATAATAAGGTAAAAGGTAAGAACTTATCCAATCATAAAACCCTGACAATACACATCAGGGCACTTGAAGATAAAGCTAATCTGTGAAAATTTGAACAAAATCCTTTGAGAAATGTAGAAGCAGTTGGACAACAGAAGAAATTGTTCACTATATACTCTATATAAGGGGAAAAAAACAAAGGGCCATAATTAGGTCAAAAATTATCCAATCACAAAAACTCAACAATATGCATCAGGGCACTAGATGACAAAGCTTCTGTGAAAGTTTGAACAAAATCCTTGAGAAATGTAGGAGGAGTTGCGCACAGAAGAAATTGTTCACTATATATTTTGTATAAGGAAAAAAAAACCAAAGGGCCATAATTAGGTAAAAAATTATCCAATCACAAGACCCCAACAGTATGCATCAGGACACTTGATGACAAAGCTTCTGTGAAAGTTTGAACAAAATCCTTTGAGAAATTTAGGAGAAGTTGCACACAGAGAAATTGTTCACTATATATTCTGTATAAGGAAAAAAAACAAAGGGCCATAATAAGGTCAAAAATTATCCAATCACAAAACCCCAACAGTATGCATCAGGACACTTGATGACAAAGCTTCTGTGAAAGTTTGAACAAAATCCTTTGAGAAATTTAGGAGAAGTTGCGCACAGAAGAAATTGTTCACTATATATTCTATATAAGGGAAAAAAACAAAGGGCCATAATTAGGTCAAATATTATCCAATCACAAAACCCTGACAATATGCACCAGGGCACTTGATGACAAAGCTTCTGTGAAAGTTTGGTCAAAATCCGTTGAGAAATGTAGGAGGAGTTGCGCACAGAAGAAATTGTTTACGCCCGCCTGTCCGCCGACATACCTCAATCTAATAACCAGATTTTTCCTTCGGAAAACCTGGTTAATCTTCCTTCGGAAAACCTGGTTAAAAATATTTAACCATTCACTCAGTAAGGACAGAAATTAGTAAAAACAAGAAATGTCAAACAACACATATGCCCCCCTTTCTAGCCCTTGACTCACATTATTGGTAATTTTGCTATAGAAACTTGCCATAAATTGGTACATGGAAGTGTCCAATTTAAAAGAAAAATAATTAAGACTTTGTGATAAATAGTTTTCAAGATATTGAGACATTTAAGGCTCCTGAGACCTAGACCTTTGAACTAGTGACCCAAAATAAATAGGGGTCATCTAATAGTTATGACCAATCAATATAAGAAATATGAACACTTTGTGATTAATAGATTTTAAGATAATGAGCGGAAACCATACTAACATTCAAAGACCCTGTGACCTTGACCCTTGACCTGGTGACCCCAAAATAAATAGGAGTCATCTACTAGTTATGACCAATCAATATGTGAAATATAAGACTTGTATAATTTCTTTTCAAGAAATCAGCGGAAACCACTGACCCTTAAGGTCCTGTGACCTTTACTCTTGACTAGTGACCCCAAAATCAATAGGGGTCATCTAACCTCTAGCTTTTGTCAATTACGAGGAGAAGATTTTTTAAGTTAAATGTATATAAAACTTAAAATATGGGGTGTCACATTTATCTGTTAGTGTTTGACTAAGAGGTATAAAAGTTTTAAATTGATTTATAATATTACCTTAGTCTTTTATGACAAGATATGACAATTGTTAATATTTTAGTTGTACTCAACAATGTACTTTTTCCTATCTGATGGAATACGTTACAACCCTAGCAGAAAGTAGTTGCTCCATATTCGGATATCTATTGTAATCATTTTGTGAACAACAAAATGGCACATCTTGTCATAAAGAAACAAAGTTAATGTTGAAAATCTAAGGATTTTATAAGTAGGGCTCAGGTTAAACGTTTAACACGGTTATAACGTCGCCGTTTAACCTTTTACTGCATGAGCATATTGTGAAAAATGGCCGTTTTCATTGAAAAGCCTCCTGTTACAAGTTCAAACTGCTATGAAGCTATGAAAAAATGCTTCAATACTGATGAAACTTGGCACAAATGTTGACTGGACCATAGCCTCTGTAAAAGCATGATCAATCTAAAATTTCCTGTTACCATGACAACGGGGATGTCTCAAAATTGCCAAAAATCACTATTTTGCATTGTTTTTTCCATCAAAACGGATTTCAAAGTGCTGCAACTTCTCAGTGGATTGATATAGAGTAAAAGGCTCTTTAGCGTTGGTTACAAGTTACCGTAAGATCGACCTGAAGCCATTTTTAGCCTGTCACATGTCCAAAATTTTCTTGGTGATGATTGGGACTGCCCCCCCCTTCTACCCCCTAAACAGAAGGGGGCACATCCCCCTTTTGGCAACCCCTTGATGTACCATTTGGATGGAGGGGGGGGGGGGGCGGTGCCAAATATGTGATCACTTTTTTATCAACGTTTCTCAAACATAAAACAGTGTTTGGGGCTTAAATAGGGCATTTTTGCACTGTTTGAACCCTAAAAAAAGGGGGGGGGGAGGACAAAAAGCCATCAAAACACGTCTATAAGAGGTAAAAGGTTAAACAGTTAGCATTTTTTCTAACTGTGACACTCCTTATATATACATGTATATAAGGAAAACCTATAGCGGGGCCAATTTTGACAAAATGTGAACAACTTTTGTAGTACCTAAAGATGACATCACATTCATATACCAAATATCAAAGCTCAGGGCCTTGTAATTTCAAACAAGAACATTTTTTAAGTCTTTTTGAAACTGTTTTCCTGGCCTGTGACCTACTTATGGAACAAACCGGAAACATTTGAATAACTTTGGCAGGGGACCACCCAAGGCTTATTCCTGTAAAGTTTGGCTACTATCCTGTCATTGGTTTAAAAGGAGATGTTGTTTATAGAAATTGTTGATTACACACGACAACCAAGAATTAAATAAGTAATACAGATAACTTTTTATTGACTTCTGTTATATTTGTACAAAGATAAATGGTTTCCTTGGAAGTCAGTGCCTGCTATGAAATTCTAATTAAAGTCATCTTCAGAGACAATTATAGAAACAGACACACGTCACAGGAAAAAAAACCAATATGCTTTGGATCTATCACTCAATAAGGGAGCTTTAAACAATTTAAATAAATGATTATATACAGTTGTAACTTTAGCTCTGATCCCTTGCCATAGCTGTGTTGTTTCAAACCATTCTGATGCTGATCTCAGACTCAACAATCGTATTGTAGTGTCACCTATGCCTAAAGCTATTCGACCTGCAAAATTACAAAACTATTTTTTTTCAAAATGATAAATAATAATAATAATTATAGACTTTATTTAAAGAGGCAACATAGTTAGGCATGCCCAGTCTTCCCTATGAGCCTCTATCAAATATACAATGTACATAGTATGAACATTTACAACAAAAGGTATGATAAACAACTACAGAAATAACATTGTTACAAATAGTTAAGAAACATATAAAATGAAAATCTAGAAAAAAAAAAAAGACATTCAAAAAGCATAATATAGACAATGAAAGTAAAATATACATTTCTCATTTTATAATACAACTTGATGGGTTTTATTCCCACCAGAGAACCACCATTGCAGATAATTATTTTTGAATGACTGTAAATTTGTATGTAAATTTGTAGAGTTTCTTATATCTAAGGGAAGAGAATTCAAGGTATGTTATCAAATGGTAAATTTTTAAGTCTAAAAGTAGACTATAAAAGCCAACTGTTAACAAACAGAGATCTTATAATGAAACAAGCTAGCTGTCAAAAGTATAGCTGTCAACTATTTTCAGTTCAAGATAGTTAACTGCACATTTTCTAATTTCAGGAGTAGAGAATATTTTAAGTTGTTACAGTAGTATACAACTACAAGGAACACGAGCTGATTGAATAAGAATAGGTTTGGACACCTCTTGTAGTTTCAGAGTTATGTCCCGGACAAAGTTCAAAGTGCAATAATTCAAATATTAGGCAAGGCAGAGTTACTGTTCCTTGCACTGCACTTCTTCTCAATGAGATCTATCTACCGACTTAGTTTCTTGTTGATACCTCTTGTAGTTTCACAGTAATGTCCCAGACAAAGTTCACAGTGTAAAATTGAACAAGAGGGCCATGATGGCCCTGAAATCACTAACCTGTATATAGGCCCTTGGGGTAGGGCTAATATTAACCCCGCAGCTTTTTTTTTTAAACCAACTTGGTAGACACCCATAGGAAGATGTTTCATGATAAATATCTAAGTTTTAGCTCTTTGGGGTTTTTATAAGAAGATTTTTTAAGTTTTTACTATAGATATATTAGGAAAATTCAGTACCCCCCGGGGAGGGCCAATTTTGACCCCAGGGCTTTTATTTGAACAAACTTAAGAGAAGATTTTTTAAGTTTTTACTTTATTCATATAAGGAAAATCAATGACCCACCGGGGTGGGGTTAATTTTGACCTCAGGGCTTTTATTTAAACAAACTTGATAGACACTCACTAAAAGTTGTTTCATGCCAAATATTAAAGCTCTAGCTCTTTCAGTTTTTTTAAAGAAGATTTTTTAAGTTTTTACAATATACATATAAGGAAAATCAATGACCCCCAGGGGCGGGGCCAATTTTGACCCCAGGGCTTTTATTTTAGCAAACTTGGTAGACACTCATCAGACAATGTTTCATGCAAAATATTTAAGCTCTAGCTCTTTGGGGTTTTTAAAAGAATATTTTTTTTGAAGTTTTTACTATATACATATAAGAAAAAACAATGACCCCCTGGGGCGGGGCCAGTTTTGACCAAAGGGCTTTTATTTGAACAAAGCTGATAGACACTCACTAGAAAATGTTTCATGCCAAAAATCTCTGGATTTTTAAAAGAAGATATTTTAAGTTTTCTTCTTTTGGTTTCCATGGCAACCAGAGTTCTGCATGGAATTAAATTCTTTGAACAATTTTTAAAGGTGACTACCAAAGGACTATTCCTGTGAAGTTTGGAGTTTCCAGTTTATAAGGAGATGTCATATAAAGTAAAAGTTTACGGACGACGGATGGACGACCGATGAAAAGTGATCACAAAAGCTCACCATGTCACTTTGTGACAGGTGAGCTAAAAAGGGCAATAATTCCAAAAATAGACAAGACCGAGTTACAGTTCTTTTGCACTGCATATCTATGCATTGAGATCTATCTATCTACAAAGTTTTATGCTAATATCTCTTATAGTTTTAGAGTTATGTCCTTGACAAAGTTCAAAGTGTAACAAAACATGTTGAATGACACATATGCCCCCTTTCTAGCCCTTGACTCATACTATTGGTAATTTTGTTATAGAAACTTGCTATAAATGGGTACATGTAAGTGTTCAGTTATGGAGAAAGAAAAATAATGACCAATATATGACTTGAAACTGAATTAAAGCTATAATTAACTAGAACTGCCACTGTCATGGCGTGAATACCCCTGCATACCACTTTGTCAGAATCAACAGTGGCCATTTAGAGCTCAAGGACAACGTCCCTGCCAAATCTGAGGTTACTAAGCCAGTGCTATGTATTCTACATGCATCAAATGTAAAAATGTCAAAATTAATAAACTGCGGACAGGCATTCTTAATCAATTGAGGGGAAAAGCTTTTTTTAGTCTACCTTTGACCCAGTGACCCTCAAAATCAATAGGGGTCACCTTATAGTCATGATCAACCTTCATGCCAAATATGAAGACTGTGGGTCAAAGGAATATTAAGTTAATGGGTGGACAATCTTTTTGAAGTCAAAGTTCATGTGACCTTGATCTTTGACGCAGTGACCTTAAAATAAATAGGGGTCACCTACTAATCATGACTAACCTCCATGCCAAATATGAAGACTGTGGGTCAAAGGAATCTTAAGTTATTGAGCAGACAAGCTTTTTTAGTCAAGGCCCCTGTGACCTTGACCTTTAACCCAGTGTAATAAAAATAAATAGGGATCATCTACTTATCATGACTAACATCCATGCCAAATATGAAGACTGTGGGTCAAAGGTTTCTTAAGTTATTGGGCCGACAAACTATTTGAAATCAAAGCCCCTGTGACCTTGACCTTTGACCCAGTGACCTCAAAATCAATAGGGGTCACCTACTTATCATGACTAACCTCCATGCCAAATATGAAGACTGTGGGTCAAAGGTTTCTTAAGTTATTGGGCCGACAAGCTTTTTGCAGTCAAGGCCCCTGTGACCTTGACCTTTGACCTGGTGACCTCAAAATCGATAGGGGTCATCTACTCGTCATGACTTACCTCCATGCCAAATATGAAGACTGTGGGTCAAAGGAATCTTAAGTTATTGGGCGGACAAGCTTTTTGAAGTCAAGGCCCCTGTGACATTGACCTTTGACCCAGTGACCTCAAAATCAATGGGGGTCATCTACTCGTCATGACTAACCTCCATGCCAAATATGAAGACTGTGGGTCAAAGGAATCTTAAGTTATTGGGCGGACAACCTTTTTAAAGTCAAGGCCCCTGTGACCTTGACCTTTGACCTGGTGACCTCAAAATCAATAGGGGTCAACTTGTTGTCATGACTAACCTCCATGCCACATATGAAGACTGTGTGTCAAAGGAATCTTAAGTTATTGGGCGGACAACCTTTTTAAAGTCAAGGCCCCTGTGACCTTGACCTTTGACCCGGTGACCTCAAAATCAATAGGGGTCATCTACTCGTCATGACTAACCTCCATGCCCAATATGAAGACTGTGGGTCAAAGGAATCTTAAGTTATTGGGCGGACAACCTTTTTAAAGTCAAGGCCCCTGTGACCTTGACCTTTGACCTGGTGACCTCAAAATCAATAGGGGTCAACTTCTTGTCATGACTAACCTCCATGCCAAATATGAAGACTGTGGGTCAAAGGAATCTTAAGTTATTGGGCGGACAAGCTTTTTGAAGTCAAGGCCCCTGTGACCTTGACCTTTGACCCGGTGACCTCAAAATCTATAGGGGTTATCTACTCGTCATGACTAACCTCCATCAATAAAACAACATCCATATCGAACAAATCCTGTAAAACAAAAGTACCTAAGACAAGAAGTTCAGTATTTATTGGATAATGACTTTATTGAACCAAGTCAAAGCAATTACAGCTCTCCATGTATTCTTGTACCGAAATAAATGGAACATATAGAATGTGTACAGATTATCGTAAAGTGAACTCTGTAACAAAAACTGATTCATTTCCTATACCAAGAATTGATGACTGCATTGACAAAATTGGAAAAGCAAAGTATGTAACAAAGTTTGATCTTCTAAAAGGATTCTGGCAAGTTCCACTTACTGATAGAGCTAAAGAAATATCAGCTTTGTAACACCAGACGGCTTATATCAATATAAAGTCATGCCATTTTGGTATGAAAAACTCACCAGCAACTTTTTCAGAGACTTTATAAACATGGTAATATCTGGTCTACACGGATGTGACGCATACATTGATGACGCAATCATCTATTCTGATGGATGGGAGGAATATCTCAAAAACAATAAGAGCATTCTTCAACCGACTTAGTGATGCTAAATTGACTGTTAATCTTGCAAAAAGTGAATTTTGTCATGCAATTTTAACAGTTTTAGGACATGTAGTGGGACAGGGTAAAGTAAAACCAATAGAAGCTAAGGTCAAAGCTATTCTCTGAATTCCTGTGCCAACTTGAAAAGACAACTGATGCGATTTCTTGGTATGCAGGGTATTATCGTAAATTTGTTAATAATTTTTTCGGTTATTGCAGAACCATTGACAAATTTGTAAAGAAAAGAAACAAATTCATTTGGAATGACAAGTGTCAAATGGCATTTGACAGCCTGAAAGCCATACTTAAGATGCACCAGTTCTCTTGCACCAGATTTTTAATAAAAAACTTTAAGTTAGCTGTAGATGCTAGTGACATATGGTGCTGGAAGTGTATTGATCCAAGAAGACAACAATGGTGTTGACCATCCTGTGTGTTACTTTTTCTAAAAAGTTTAATGAACATCAGAAAAATTACTCTACTATAGAGAAAAGAGTGCCTTGCTCTTATTCTTGCTATTCAGCATTTTGAAGTTTATCTAACTTCTTCAAAGTTGCCTGTTGTTGTCTTTAGTGATCACAATCCCCTCACTTTCTTGCATAAACTTAAAAACAAAAATCAAAGGTTGTTGAGGTGGAGCTTATTTTTTGCAAGAATATAGTCTTGACATTAGACACATTAAAGGGAAAGATAATTTGATCCCTGATGCACTTTTTCACGTGTCTAAAACTGTT